TCAGCATCTGCCAAGCCATCAGATTCCTATGAAAGGAAGGTATAGATAATTTTTTTCAAAATGCTTTCTAATTAAAATATTCACAAATATAAAATTCCTAGTCTAATGGAAAAAGTAACTTTTTACTAAGAAATATGCACAGTATTAACTCTCTTTATATTAGTTGGAACAATAATAAAAGGCAAATTGTTTTTGTATGTTGACCAAGTCAATATGATGTAGAAAATATGTTCACTATTTATTGATTTGTGATGCTGCCCAACTGTAAATTTAATGAATATTGGTAGTCAGTTACATATGAAAACAAGAAGACCTATTTCAATACAGTTCTTACATGTATTTATGTGTTAGGTCATTTACTTCTTAATTATAACACTCTGTAACAGTATTACAGACATAGAATAAGTAAATATGATTTTGAGAGTATGTAGCAATATGAGGAAATCTCTTAATAATCCCAACCAAAACCTGCAGCAAAGTTTCATCTGGAAACTTCAAATTACTGCTTGCTAACCTATATTGGATCATTAAATCAAACAACAATATTTAATATCTAACAGGCTTACAGCTTGGACTTGAAGCTGCAAGTCATTTTTCTCCTGCATCAGGGACACCATTTTTTCTTCTAGTTCCTTCACTTTGGCCTCTGCCTTAGCAAGATTCTCCTTCGTTTTCTCAAACTCTTCCTTCATGTTGGCCATTTCCTTTTCTGACTCTGCACTCTTCAGCAGGGGCTTGATCTTGAAGTACAATTTCATCCATGGCCAGTGCTTCACGTTCATGAATGAACGAACATTGTACTGAATAGTAAAGATGGATTCTCTGGAAGGAAAGCAAAATAAAACTGATAAGTTTAGAAGAAATTTGGAATATACATATATAATAAAAAAAAAAAAAAAACAAGCTCTCAGCTTAATCACTAGCCTTATCAGTTGCAAGATTTGGAAATATTTTAAAATATGGTGACTATTGGCCAATATGTGGTACCATATGTCTAATTAATGCAAAATAATGCATTAGTTGGTTATATTGTACAACATATTGGGCAATTGTCATGTCATCAGATTTTAAATACTTTCACATTTATTTCTCTAGGAGTAAATACAAATATAAAGACTTACAAATGGGATAGGCACAAATAAATCTTATATTCCACACTTTGGATATCTCTAAATTTGTCCAAATAGCATTTTTCTTTCTTTACAAAAATACTACATTGCATTTGCATAATTTTCACTAATGTAAGTTAAAGAATATAACATATAAGAAATATAGATTAATGCTTCTTCACAAAGCTTTTCAAGTGCATTTTTTAAAGAAGGTTTATACAGATAAATGTGAAATGAATATATTTCTAAATGCATAATTTCTGCCATGTTGTGCAACGAACTGTCCTGACGACCTGAGAATTTTCATGGCTACTTAGATCATTCATACATGACTTCTCAAATCTACTATTGCTAAATGTTTCTAAATGTTCTATACTATATACAGTATTATAGTCTGTTGTGCATGCTACAGTAGTTTTCCAACCATCAGTATAGTCCATGGTTCACAAATTATCTGTTTGGGTATTGAAGGTGATCCTTATATGTGTCTCTTTGTGTATGTCTCATTTTATTTGTAATAACAAAACTGTACCTTCGTTCCATCATTTTCTGGAACTCAGACCTTGCTAAGAACCCACGACACATCGCTTGAGTACGTGTAATTAATTGTGCCAGCTTATCATCTCTCATCTCCTCTAGAAGACCCAGAAGCCCAGCTTTGAAGAACACCTGGGTTGTGGAAGAGTAAGTATAATAAATATATAATTGTCCCATAAACAATGTTGCATTCAAACAGTCAAATTGTCATCTTACCTTGGTGTGGCCAAATTTATACTGGGTATGGTCAACATCAATGGATCCAAGAAGTTTCTCAGAAGCCTTCTTGCTATCTATGAATTGTCCCTCTGGGATGGCACTTGCATTCAGAACTTTGTATCTATTAAAGAAAGCAGAAGCTAAAGTTGCCTAACATTGGAAGCCATGACATTAAGAAGACATGTAGAAATGAAACTCATTTTGGTGAACATCCAAAGAAACATTTATCAACATTTGGACTACCTTCCCCTCTCTGCCTCCTCTCTGCCCTGTACACAAATATACAACCCGAATCCATAATAGCTAAGGGAAAGACCAAAACTTGTATACAACATTGAAACATGTACAAAAGAGCATAACTTTTGCGTTTTGACACATTTTCATTAACTTGTCAATTTTGCATATATACACGACCAGCCCCTCAGATGACATTGTTAATAACCTAAGAGCTCTGGATAATGGTATCTATTACTAGGAAAGTTTAAGTCATACTCAAAAATTCTACTAAACAATCTGCTTTAAGTTCTGATGACAGCAAAACTATTTACTGTTTCTTCCTGGCCTTTCAGTTTAGAGGATTAGAAGTTTGTCTTTAGTGAAGGGAAAGTAGTGTGTGCCTGTTTGCTGTTTTTTAACAGCCTTTCCAATCAGCATGAGAACAAACTCTCAGACCTACCAGCTATGACTACTTCCCTAGAGATTGGCCAGTGTGGCTGAGTTTTCTAAAGTTTATCAGTATCAACCTGTCATCATAAATGCTTTTGTTAGCGCAAAGTAATTCATACTATATAGAAATTTTGAATTATTCAAGCCTGTACAAGTAAACATCTGAAATTCCTGAACCAAATGTGTAATTCTTCATCATATGCCCAATTCTATTCTGTATAATGAAGAGTTATGAATGGAAGTAATAAGATTTTGTTATTTTCTCCCTTAAATTCTTAAGATATATTCTATTATTTTATTTAATAAATAATATGCAGTAGTCCTTACAACTATATGGACATAACCCTGAACCTTTCCTGGCAACCTTTGCTGAAATAGTTTGCCATTGCCTTTTTAAGAATGAGAATTATTGTCCCAAATTCACCCAACTGGCTTCCATATCCAAGGTAGGGTCAGAAAACCTAGGTTTCTCTGCTCCCCACTAGACCATATGGCACTACTTACATTCAATAATTTACGTTACTAAAATGTAAATTGATGTAGGATGGAGACATTAAAAACAGCTAGAATCCAAACAAGCCAGTAACTGGAAATCAATCTGACCTCTGTTTGAAATCAGCATAAACAATCCTGCTGGGGAAGCCTTTCCTGCAAATTCGGATACCTTCAAGTACACCATTACATCTCAGTTGGTGCAATACAAGCTCATGTTCCATGGCGCCTTAGAAAAACCACAGGGAAAAAATGTTACAATTTGTACAAAAGGTAGATTACATATTTCTTTTTAAAATCAAACACAGTTCTGTATCTTACCAGGAGTTTTAGTTTCATTGGGGATGAGGCAGCGCACAAAATGTGGATGAGTACTCCTCAGATTGGACATCAGCTTGTTTAAGTTTTCCTGTAGGATTTGAAAACAAAAAATATTTTTGTTTTTTTTTAAAGCAAATTTATATCTTAAGAAAAAAACTAAAGAGTAAGCTCCACATTTTGCCATATGTAGCCAGAAAAAAAATACTGTGAACTTTCCCCCAATTCTCAGAAACAACCTTTTTTAAAACACTTTTGTCCTATTCTGTATCAGATTATATTTATATTGGTGTATTAGTTAACTTTTTTAAGACAATGCATGTTCTTGACCTTTTGAGAGCATGTTACAGATATTTTAATTAAATGCTGTTGTGATTAAGAAATGTTTAACAACTCAGGGCTTAAAGAAAAAGAGCCAGCAGAATTGTGTACTGTGTTCAGTCTCTATAATCTTTACTGTGATGTATTCTCTTAAGGACCGTTGGTAGACTTCTATTGTTCCAGAATACTGTGAACTAATATTCAATTGGTCTTATCTTGCTTTTCCTCCTCTGAGAGGGATAAATATGTCTACTGCTCTATCAGTCTATGGATATTGAAAGCTGCTTTATGTGAAGTTAATCTATGTAGCAGATCAACTGGCAATAGCTTTGCAGTTGTACTCTTGTCCTATGTTCAACTTTGGTGGACTCTTCTCCTAACTTCTCCATTGGAAAACCACTGCCAATCAAGACTCAGACAATGGCTCTCCCATCTTCAATTCTGCAACTGCCAAAAGCTGTATTTTTTGTGTGGCAGTAAAACAGTGTTCTATCACAGAGGTACATCTTTCCTCATATTCTGCCCCTCCCCACAGATATCCTCCATTTATACAGAGAGGCACGTCACTCCTGCACAAGTGTCCTTGAAGGAATAAAGGATAAGAACATCTGAGTTCCATACCCTGAAAAGGGCAGACACAGTCTGGAAGGAGGAGCCCTTCTTCTTGGCAGCTTTCTTGCCCTCTAGGGAAAAAGAAAAGAAAAGGTGGGGGAACCACAATTAGACAGTTATCTGGGACTTAATAATTTATCCTACAGATACCTATAATACCTAACATTAGGTATTAGGTGTATCACATTCTTGTGTTACAGTTTGTTAAACAAGATATTTCAATCTTATATGTATGTGATTATAGTTATAAGAACTGCAGTTGGTGAGGCAAGAATTAAAGGCAGACAACACTGTTAGGTAAACTCTGATCAAATGCCAACCTTAAAAGTGGGAAATAGAACAATTAAACTTTCATTGATTTGGAAAAATATAGGAGAGAAAAGTGTTGTATTTGAAATATTCCTGTGCTCTGTCATAGGCTTATCTTCTATGTAGCAGTGGCTTCTTTTATAACTATAGTATGAGCTGCTTATGTACTCACACTACATCCAAATATGTGGGCCATGTTTCTGAAGAAAGATTTATTGTAGGGACTGATGTGAAGTCTGTCTAAACCGTACTGTGTGAGTTCACCTTATGCAAATCCAGAACACTGAAGCATACTATGGTTTAGCATGTTTGAGCCAGATCAGATAACAGATAATCAGAGTTGGAAGGGACCTTGTAGGTCATCTAGTCCAACCCCCTGCCCAAGTGGGAGACCCTACACCATTTCTGACAAATGGCAGTCCAATCTCTCCTTGAAAGTCTCAAGTGATGGCGCTCCCACAACTTCCGAGGGCAAGCTGTTCCATTGGTCGATTGTTCTCACTGTCAGAAAGTTTCTCCTTATTTCCAAGTTGAATCTCTCCTTGTTCAGTTTCCATCCTTTATTCCTTGTCTGGCCTACAGGCGCTTTAGAAAATAGCTTGACCCCTTCCTCCCTGTGGCAGCCCCTCAAATATTGGAAGACTGCTATCATGTCTCCCTTGGTCCTTCTCTTTACTAAACTAGCCAAGCCCAGTTCCTGCAACCGTTCTTCATATGTTTTAGCCTCCAGTCCCCTAATCATCCTGGTTGCTCTTCTCTGTACTTTTTTCTAGAGTCTCAACATCTTTTTTATAATGTGGTGAACAAAACTGGATGCAGTACTCTAGGTGTGGTCTTTATAGAGTGGTATTAGTACTTTCCTTGATCTTGATTGTATCCCTCTGTTAATACAACTTATACAACTGAATACAACTCAGCTCATATATTTATTTGTATTTCTTTGGAAATTATACATTTGGAGTTTTTGTGGGAGAAAATTAAAAGAGCAACTATAGTGTACTGGTTAAGTCCTGGATTGAAGAGATTTCAGCATGACTCACAATGGTTTTGGTCAGTGTGGGTCACTTGGCTAGTCTTGGTCTGTCATCCCAGTCAACCTCATAAGGTTGTCATGAGGATAAAGCTCTCAGAGAAAAGGTGAAACATAAGTACTTTAGCTAATGTTAATGTTGGGGTTATTTATAGAACATGGGGCAAGGATGTGCCAAGGGTCTGTAGGAGAAGCTAAAAAGTATAAAACATCACATCCCTAACCTGTATAAAAAAAAAAATCATCTGGGAATAGCACTGAACTATTCTTTACATGGGCAGTTTTGACTCTAAATGATGTTTGTAAATCTATTTCAAGTGTTAAGAATTACCTTCTGCTGGACGGTCGACAAACAGTAAGGCCAAGGTCTTCATGGAAGACTTCTGATACAGACCCACCACGGTTTCATTCAGGGGGTCCTTGTTCTTGTCCAGCCAGCCACCAATGTTGTAATCAACAGTGCCAGCATAATGTACAAGGGAGAAATGAGCTTCAGCTTTGCCTTTGGCAGGCTTGGGTTTCTGGAAGTTGTTGCTCTTGCCAAGGTGCTGGTCATAGAGCTTGTTCTTGAAAGATGTGTCTGTTGCCTTGGGGAACATGCACTCTTCCTCCAAGATGGAGAAAATGCCCATGGGCTGTAAAACAATGATTGAAAGACAGTTAGCCACTACATGGACTAAGTTATTATATACTAACTTCAAATAATGTCATCATTAGTAATTTTCAGCAAAAAGCAATGGTTTTCTTGTGATAGTCTATGAAGAAATATGATTAACAGCACAACAAGCATTCAAAAAATATATTGAGTACGCAAGCATTGTTACAAATACAGCTGCACCATAACAGATATACCTTTATAGCTATAACCAGGGGTACAGCTCATTTATGCCAAAGCAGTTAACAGTCATTAGTTGAAATTACTGCAAAATTAAATATAACTTTTGATCAAAACCTTCTCAATGAGTTCAATGCAGGCAGCCAAGTCCATTCCAAAGTCAATGAACTCCCATTCAATTCCTTCTTTCTTGTACTCTTCTTGCTCCAGGACAAACATGTGATGGTTGAAAAACTGTTGCAGTTTCTCATTGGTGAAGTTGATGCAGAGCTGCTCCAAGCTGTTGAACTTGAAAAAGAAAAAAGGGAGAATTTGTTTTAAAAACACACAATGTATTATCCATTCTTAATTTTGGTGTCCAAATGTTTAATTGTATTTTTCATCTGTTTGTCTATATAATATCTGCAACCCAACAAGACAGACGCAGACTTCAGAGAGTAATTAGGACTGCAGAAAAAACAATTACTACCAACCTGCCTTCCATCAAGAACCTGTATACTGCAAGAGTCAAAAAGAAGGCTGTGAAAATATCTACAGACCCCTCACGTCCTGGACATAAACTGTTTCAACTCCTATCCTCAAAAAGACGCTATAAAGCACTGCACATCAGAATAACTAGACACAAGGACAGTTTTTCCCCAAATTCCATCACTCTGCTAAACAAATAATTCCCTCAACACTGTCCAACTATTTACAAAATCTGTGCTACTATTACTATTAATCTTCTCATCACTCCTTATCACCCATCCCCTCCCACTTGTGACTGTATGACTGTAACTTTGTCGCTTATATCCTTATGATTTATATTGACTGTTTCCTAGTATGATTTGATTGCTTATTGTACCTTATGACTATTATCAAGTGTTGTACCTTAAGATTCTTGACTCTTGACAAATGTATCTTTTCTTTTATGTACACTGAGAGCATTTGCATCAAGACAAATTCCTTGTGTGTCCAATCACACTTGGCCAATAAAGAATTCT